TTAGTGAGAATAGTACCAATTTAGATCGTCGAAAGTTTAATAAATAATACATTAACTCAGTCAGTCGATATGAAACTACAACATGTTTTATGTTAGTTACATCTCATTTTATAACTTCGATTTATATGTAAATCAAAGTAAATAAATCAAGAGTCTTAGAACAGATGGATTCGAGTGCGCTGAAGCTCATTGAAAGCCTATGACGATTCGTTGAAATCCAACAAATACATTATCAGTCAACAAATTTCACTATGATTTGAAACTAAAAAAAGAAAATGCGCATCTTGACAAATCCTATTAAATTTCAACAATCAAAGAATTTGTCGAAACTCAATAGATTCCAGCGAAACCTGAGTAGATTAGATCTGATTTTTCGTTTTTGTATGTAATCTTAGCTCCCATTTGTTTTTATGGTCTAATTTCATTCAATTCTGTGGTTCTTGAAATTCAATAGAATCTATTCTTCTTTCTATAAACCACTAGTTGAATTTCACTAAAAAATAGAAAAATGTGAAAATTCGATCTTCTATTTGAAAACGAATTAATATTCGGAAAATTTCATGTGCTTTGAACTAGACCGGAGATATCAAATTTCTTCACTATTTTTCTTTATTTTTAACAATCAATAACAATTCTATTTGACAAATTTTTCTCTTTTTAACCTTTTCATTTTGCTGGTCGTGGTGAAATGAATGTAACATAAGGTGTTCCACGTCTTCGTCAATTACTTATGGTTGCTTCTCAAAAGGTCAAAACACCAACAATGGAATTCTACCTATTTTACATAAGTTCATCAGCATTACGTAAAGCAAAACGTTTACAACGTCGTTGGTCTCGTCTTTTATTTTCTCAAGTATTAAAAACTTTAAATATTCATGAAAAACTTTCATTAAAATTAAATGATCATAAACGTACATATAAAATTGAATTTTATTTTGATGAAAAATATGGAAAAAAACAATTAAATGAAATTATACGTTTATTTGAAACATATTTTATTTCACGTTTATGTCGTTCAATAAATAAAAAACGTAAAGAATTAACAACAACTGCTCTTTTAACATCAGCACATATTCGTGATAAGATAACAATTAATCATTCAAATGATAAAGATGATTAACAAGAATTAGCTGAAAAAGATGATGATGATGATGAAGATGATGAACAAATTAATGGTGAAGCTAATACAGCCAAAGAAAAAGCAAATAGAAATGATGAAAAAGAATATGATGATGATGATGACGATAATAATAATAACAATGAAGAAAATGAAACAGATGATGAAGAAACAATGCAAGATAATCAAGATGAAAATGATTAAACAAATACATCAAAAATCACTATTAAAGAAGATGTCATTGATGATGATGATGATGATGATCTACCAGGTAATCTTATTGAAAATAAATAAGAGAAATAAAACTTCAGAATTAGTTGTTTTTTGGTAGATTCTTCAGTTTTATAGGCACATATTTTTTTTATTCAAATAAAAAAAAATGTTGTAAATGATGAATTTTATCGACTTATCTTTCAGTATGTAGAATTCTTATGCACTATTAATGTACATTCTTGATGAAACATGTTTATTATAATATATTAGAATAGATGCGAAAGAATACGTATCATAAATCATGATGCACATCTGAAGGAAAGGAGAAGAGATTATTTTCTCGCAGCAGAACTAATGAGGTAAATTCATCAATTGTTCAATCTTTTTTGAGTTGAAAGTGTGTTCATCATGTAGGTTCTAATGAACCATGAATAATCTGAAAAAGAATTTGAATTCTTAGATTATTGTTACTGAGCTACTGCATTTTTGAGGACATTGTTTAAATGAATGTCGTGCTCCTTCTCCGGAAAACTTTTTTTTCAATTTCAACTTGAACCTTTGTATACAAACAGATCTTAACGAGAATAGTTTATTGTGAATGTTACAAGTATTTTGGTTTGCTTCTATCTCGAAATAAGAACATTGAATCTATCGATGTATAATAATCAATATAAAAGATAATCTTTTACCATAGTTCTATCTTATGATCAAAATCATGAAAAGATTTGAAACTTTCATAATAAATTCTATTCGTTAAGGTATATCTCTATGTAAACCTTCAAGTTCAACATCAAGAATAAGTTTTCCTTATATTCCTGAGGAGAACTACACCATTATATTAAAAAACAATTTAAGAATGAAGCATCTCACCAACAATAATCTAAGAGGCCGAACTCTTTTCAGAATATTTAAAATTGATTAGGACCTACTCTATATACATAATCTGAACTCCAAAGCGACTTCCCTATCATATTTGCCATTCATAAAACTAGGATTAAATGGTAACCAAAGTCATAGAAAAAAAAATTCTTTCAACTAATGTTTTGTTAATGAACGTAACAGTTTATAATAACTAATTTTCGAATAACAAAATACTTTTTTTTTTGTTTTTTGAAATAGCATTGGATATATCTAACAGAAGAAATAAATAATGATGATGAACAAGAAGTACCTGGCAATGATGAAGATAACATTGATGAACCACCAAGTAAAAAAGCAAAGAAAATCAATACGAAAACTACTCTTATGGATAATATGACATACAATCAACGATTTCATCTATGTATATAAGAAAAAAAAACAAACTAGAACGACATTTTCGATGTCGTTTATTAAAAACCGACTTTTCCTTTTCGAATGTCTGTAAACATGCTGATTATATACATGACTATAGAGCTGATCTTGATAATAATTTATGGTTTTGTTTAACAATGGTATTTCCTGCTACTCAACCTCGTATTGATCTTGAAAGATTAATTCGTAGTGAAGCATCTCGAACATCGATAACATCAATTGTTGGTATTCAAAATTGTTTTATAAGAGAAAATAAAGAATATCGTTCAAAAATAAAAACTGATTCTAATGATATTGAATATATTCTTTCAACTGAAGGTGAAAATATAAATGCATTAATGACATATTATCAAATATTTGATTTATGTCGAATATATACAAATAATATTCATCGTATGGTAGAAATATTTGGTATTGAAGCAGCTAATCGTACATTAATACGTGAAATAAATCGAATATTTCGTACTTATGGAATTAATTGAAGTTGATTATAAATATTTATCTTTATTAGTTGATTATATGACATATGAAGGTGTTTATAAGTCATGTAATCGCTTTGGTTTAAAAACAAATGGAAGTTCTTTACAAAAAAGAACATTTAAAACATCAACAACATCTTTAAAAGAAGTATTATTATATGATGAACATGAACAATTAAAATCTCCATAATCTCATTTAGTTACTGGACGTCTGATTCAATACGGTACTGGTGTTTTTGATATTCTTACAAAATAATCTTCATCATAACAATAATTAATATATTTTCTTCTATTTATTTGTTTTATTTTTCTAGTGACTGGTTTTTTTTTTCTTTTTTTGTCTAACTAAACAATATTATTTTGTTATGTGAATTTTTTTAGATATTTTATCCTCATGGATAAAAATGATTTATTAACAATCAATGATAATTCAGCTTGATTTTTAGACTTCATCAATAAATGAAATTGTCTATTTGATTTTTATCGATAGAATGACAATGATAGAAATGATGATGATAATGAAGAATTAGATGATGTTGTTGAACGAGAACGAATTAAACTTTTAGCAAAAACAAAAACGTTTAGATGAATATCTTATGAAAAATCGAACTAAAGACGATATGGTTGTTTTCAAACGAACGAATAAGTAAAATACAAAAATAAATCAATTTGTATTTAAAAAAAAAAAATCGTTTTTATTCTATTCTATGAATTTAATGATAAAGAAACATTTGAAGATGCTAATCATGATGCTTTACTTCTTTGTGCTGATCATCAAAAAATACATATGTTAGTAGCAGGATTTTCAAATGGACATTCTTATCTTCATGAAATGTTCAATTTTAATATTATTCATTCTTTAAAGTTTGAATATAGTCTTGAAAAGCTGTCAAAACTAGTTTTGATGACAAAGAAAAAAATCAAGTCTGTGAGAATCTGGACATGAGGGTGTCTTCATTGCGTTCAGATAATTTTTTCAATAAATGAATGCAAAAAAAAATAAGTAAATATACAGAATGATAGAAAACTCCACGGGCTTTCAGAATATATAATTAGTTTTAAATAAACGTGTTTTTACAGCTACAATAAATGAGAAATACAGAGTAAAACTATTTTTTTTTGAGGGCATATATATAGAGAGAAAACAAAAACGAAAAAGATAATCTAGGTACATTCTTTCACATGCACTTAGTTTAAACATTAAGTAGAGCAAACGAAGTCGGTCAGGTATCTTCTTTTCCAACTGCGCAATAAGAAGAGAAAGAGATGGAACGAAAAATCAAATATGAATTTCGAGGTTTTAATGATGAAGGAAAGAAATGTTCGACATGTGTATGAAAAAGAAAATAGATAGATATTGCGCAAGAAATAAAGAAGAGAAGAGAGAGGAAAAAAGGACCTATATATACGTATAGAGAGATAGCGCATATAGTTAGTACACAAATATCCTTCGCGAGTTTTCTTTTTTTTTTTCTTTTACTTACTTGACGTACGCAAAAAAGTGGTCATTTTCTGTTCAAAAGATCTCGAGAACGAAAAGCCACAAAACACTCGCTCAAACGTGAACCACAAGTATCGAGATCCAACTCGTACCATTTTTAGTCAGACCATCTATAGAACCTATCGTTCGTCTACAATTGGACTTCGAAAATCACGATTTTGACAAAGTTTACTGTTGAGATAATTGGTAACGATCGAATCTTTTTTAGAAAAAAAAATGTGATTTATTGTTCTTATTTGTGTAGATCTTTTATTGATTGCATTAAAATAAGAATAAATATGTTTTTCTTCTTTTCATTTTGTCTCTATATGAAACTATATTTGTAGATTTAATCATATACAGTGTTTTGGTTTTTTTTGGTTGGAATTTGCAAAAAAAAAAGGAAAAATCTAAACAAATGGCTAAACCAGTCGATCCAAATAAAGAAGAAAAATATGCAACATCTATATTAAATCGTAAAGAACTTCCAAATCGTTTAATTATTGATAATGCTATTAATGGTGATAATAGTGTTGTTACATTATCACAACAAAAAATGAATGATTTACAATTAATTAGTGGTAATGCGGTGATGCTTCAAAGTAAATGTCGAGAAACAATTTGCATCGTTCATGCTGATAATACCTGTCCAAATGATCGTATTCGAATGAATCGTGTT